CTATAGAGACCCACAGCCCCTGTATGGCCCTATAGCCCCGATCCCCCGGGGACCCCCAACCCCTCTATAGGGCACAATAACCCCCTATACGGACCTATAGCCCCCCCATAGAGCCCCATAGCCCCAACCTAGACCCTAATACTGACGCACAGCCCCCACCATGGCCCCTATAGGGCCCTATAGCCCCCAGCTGGAGCTCAATGCTCCCCCCGACGTTTAGCAGACCCCTATGGAGCCCCACGGCCCCCCTATAGGTGCGTGTTGGCCCCTATAGAGCCCCATGGCTCCACGTTAGGCCCTTATAGAGCCCTCCTGCCCATGCACCGGGCTCTATAGAGCCCCATAGGAGCCTATACAGACCCCTGTAGAGCCCCATAGGTCTCTATATGCATTCTATAGGCCCCTATAGGTGCTATGTGAGCACCTATGGCTCCCCATGGATCTCTATAGGTCCCTAGAGGTCCCTAGAGGCGCTACATGATTCAGGACCAAATGCACCTATAGATCTCGTCGGTTCCTATAAGTGCCTATACATTCCTATAGGCGCTATGTGAGCCAGGACCACCTACACCCCTAGATTCCATAGGTTCCTATAGATCCCATAAGTGCTTATATGAGCCAGGACTGGATACATCTATAGATCCCATAAGTTCCTATAGGTGCTACGTGAGCCAGGACTGGATACATCTATAGATCCCATAGGTTCCTACAGATCCCATAAGTTCCTATAGGTGCCACGACTGGATACATCTATAGATCCCATAGGTGCCCACAGGAGCTACGTGAGCCAGGCCCAGATGCTCCTAGAGATTCTGTATGTTCCTATGGATCCCATATGTTCCCCTAAGTGCTACATGAGCCACGGCTGGATACTCCTATGGATCCCATAGTCCCTATAGGCTCTACGTGAACCATGGCTGGATCCTCTTATGAATCCCATAGGTTCCTCCAGGTGCCTATAGATTCCATAAGCGCTATGTGAGCCAGGGCAGATGCACCCATAGGTTCCTCAAAGTTCCTACAGGTGCCTATAGATCCTATAGATTCCGTAAGTGCTAGGCAAGCCAGCGGCGGATGCACCCAGAGGTTCCTACAGGTTCCTATAGATTCCATAGGCGCTGGGCGAGCCGGGGTGGATGCACCCAGAGGTTCCTATAGGCTCCTATGGATTCCATAGGCGCTAAGTGAGCCGGGGCGGATGCACTCGGAGGTTCCTGTAGGCTCCTATAGGCTCCTATAGGTGATTCCATAGGCGCTAGGTGAGCCATGGCGGATGCACCCAGAGGTTCCCGTAGGTTCCTATAGGCTCCTATGGATTCCATAGGCGCTAGGTGAGCCAGGGGCGGATGCACCCAGAGGTTCCTATAGGCTCCTATAGGTGATTCCATAGGCGCTAGGTGAGCCATGGCGGATGCACCCAGAGGTTCCCGTAGGTTCCTATAGGCTCCTATGGATTCCCTAGGGGC